TAGGGAAACTGCATTGTTTAAGAATGATGGTAGAAATCTGTCACAATATGGAAAACTATGAAGTTTGTCAGAGGTCAGATCACATTCTGTGATACTAACCTGTGAGTGAATGCTGTTTTCCACCTCTGCTACTATGTGGGTGACCTCTGGACTCATCACATCTTCCTCATCTCCATCATAAGTGCACTGCAGCTAAGGAGCCTTGTAATTTTAACACTTGACTCTGTATTCCAGTGCTTTTATTTGTTTTAGTCCACATACAGCAAACTGTTGCAGGTGCAAACATACAGGGGCTGATAAATGTTTGACTATAACAACCGTGATGTAAATGGCCAGCCTGAAAGGATATGTGATAAGGTAGCGTGCCAGCCTCTTCCTCTGTGACGCAGGTAGGTTGTAGAAAAACACTCGCACTCCACTCATAAAACTGGGAAGCTCTGCAGGGCCGTGGCTTTGGGGAACACCCGAGGGGCCCGGACGTTCCACCTCTGTCTCGTCAGTCAGCCTGTCAGAGTTACACAACTGCAGTTCAGGCGACGCCACAGAGGTGGATGCCTGAAGTGCAGCTGAGTTCTTGTGAGCTCTGCTGTGGTAATATCTGTCAGGCAGGTTCAGGAAGAAATGTACACATCCTTGAGGTAGATGACTTCTGAGAAAAGTCGCAACTTTTTAGATTTCAGATGCTAAAAAGATACATGAATGTGGGGACGCCTCTGGAGGCCAGGTGTTTTCGGATGAGCCTCTCTGTGCCGTACCAGTTGAAGCCTTTGGTGGAGTGACCGATTCGAGGAAGATGAACACTTGCTTTGTGGGGAAAAGACAAATATAGAGAGAGAAGCTGTGGGTGAGGGTCAGGAGGACTGATAACTGCTGTGTGTTTACGTTCTCTTCTGGCTGAACCTAAGGTGGGGCAACAGCCTGTTTTACTGCAGGTTTTCATTGCCAACATGAACAGTGTCATAATGTGACCACAGAAACGAAGGGAGGTTATTTTAAGGGTAAGGTGTTCTAATTAATTCACCTGCCGTGTGGCACAACCTGAGGAAACTCGGATTCCTCTCTCATGTGCTGTTCTTCATTTACAGTGTGTGTTAGTACACGCACACATACACACACAGTGATAACAGCAAAATGACACACAGCACGTCATGCGCATCTTGTCAGTCAAACAATGATCAGCGTGCCCCTCCTTTTCTTTCTGTTCTCAGGAAGCCAGCCAGGTGTTCATTTTAGCACAGATGACCTGATTCTAAAATGTCTTGAGTTTAAATGTGCACATGAAAAAGACAAGATAGTTTTTGTAAAATCGCTTGAGTTGGTGCTTGACTGTACCCTTATATCTCCTGGCTGCAGCGTAGATCTTCTTTAGACCTTTGTCCAGAGCAGTGAGAAGGATCCCAGACAAGTTGCTGGCTTTGTCTCTTTGCTGTGCCACTATCAGGGCCAACTGAGTTGACAGGAAGTAGGTCGAAACACATTCAGGTATCAGTATCTTATCATACTCACACTTTTATCGCATGCTACTCTGTCACAAATTCACAATTCTGTCACCACACTAAAACCCAGACCTGGTGTAATTACACTGCTGGTTACTCCGAAGAAGCTGCACGTATCGTGACACCAGCGGGTTTCCAAGCAGCAGAACTGCTGGGTACTTTATGCAGCATAAGTTTGATTTAAACAGACTCTACCTGATCCTGGCCATCCTGTCTAGACTGCTTGTCATCGATGGGGAAGAGCAGCACATTTCCAAGGTCCAAATCTGAAACAAATATTAAAATAACACTTATGCTATACGGGCCCCAATCCTCCAGATAATGACTTTTTTTTTTTCTTTTTTCTTTTTTTTACAATTGTCAGTAATCTTACCTTTCATCTTGCCTGCCAGCTCATACTGCTTTCGTGGTTCATCTGATCTCACCTCTAGAGCGGAAAACAGGCCACCCCTACCCCATCGGCCTGAGTCATCTACACAAACATTATTACTTTGACAAATATGAACTAAACTGACTGAAGAAATTCTGATGAAGCACTATGTTCTGTTTATCAGTTTCCCATGCAAAGCGACATGCTGCTATGATAGTGATCATTTCATACCAACACAGTGAACGATGACAGCATCTCCCTGAGCAGCGTGTGGATGAGTAACATCCCCGAGAACATAGTGGATGGCTGTGCTGTCAGAGTCTGTGGAGCATACACTGCTGTCATCCTCCTCCTCCTCCTCCTCCTCCTCTTCACTGTCCACAGACTGGAGGCATGGTGACCTGTAGCCACATGACTCCCACCACACCATTCTGCATGATGAACACACCAAATAAAAGGAAATTTGATTGTGTCAGCGATGTTCAGTGTTAAGAGGAATTGAGAAACACAGGTCGACTGACAGATCTTTACTTTTTCTTGTGTTTCTGCTCTTGCTGTTTCTTCTTCAGGTCCTCCTGAATTTTGGCTCTCTTGGCTGCCGCCTCCTCCCTCCTCTGTCGCCTCAGCTCCAGCTCGGCCTCGGTAAGAGGTTTCCTTTTCCTCGTTGGAACCCCCAAGAAAACTGACAGTGAAACCTGCATACAAACAGAAAATAACTACTACACCTGCATAGGTAAACAAATACTGTGCAAAGGTTTTACATACTTCACATGTTTACATTCATTGTCAAGCATGAAAAGGAGCCCAAACATACACCCAGAATCATAAAGAACTATATTTAGAGAAAAGAAAAAGTCCTAAAACAGCTGTGCCCGCCACAGAGCCCTGACATTGTGGACATCCTAACATCCCCATCATGGAGTCAGTCTGCGATTACACGAAGACACTGAGTCAGCCTCAGTCCACAGACGAAATGAGGCAACTTCTCCAAGAAGCTGGAATAACCTAACTGCCAAGTACCTTGAAAAACTCGGAGTGTGAAGAGAAGAACTGGTGCTATTTTAAAGTCAAAGGTGATTTACATTTACTGCACTTTGTATTAAGTTATTTGACAATAAAACTCCTTCCTAGCATTGAAAAACAAGCCCCAGGACTATGAGATCACAGTGTTAACCACCTTCTGCTGATCACAGCAAATATCAGGTTAAACAGAGCTGCCCATCATTATGAAATATCTTTAAATCCAACTTCTTTGTGAGCTGTTGTGATCAACAGAAAGGACAATGAAACAGTAAAATACAACACAACCTGCTGTAATGTGAACAAACTGGATTTTAAAAATGTCCTGATTTTCTTGGTTCAATTGAAACAGAAGTTCAATACAAAGAGCTTTAACTGAAACTATGTACATGGATGTCGTTGGATCAGTGAGGTGAAATCTTTATTTGTATAAGGACAGATGGTCTGTTGATTTCTGCTTCAAAATGAAGTTAAGACAACACTGTCTTGTGAAGAAAACAAATGCAGGGTGGAGATTCAGCTGAAGCAGAACTGAAGCAAAACTTAAATGCATGAACTACAAACAACAGTAGAAGAAGAAAAAAGAACGACTGATGTGCAATTTAGGTGAAACTGATGAAATTCTTGTTTTTTTTGCTTATTGTATGATGATTTAAGGGATAAACATTTTAGGAAAAACAAATCCTTCATTTGTGATGAGCTCTTCACAATGAGTTATTAAAAAATAAAACACTAACCACTGTAATAAGCATTTAAACTGCAATATTACTGTAGATGTAAGAATGTCTGACAAATGTCCGAAACTGCAATATTAGATGTAAGAATGTCTGACAAATGTCCCACCACTGCAACTGTCTTTTGGTGTCTTACACTGCAGGTCCGTGTGGGCTGGGGACATGTGCCATTTTCTGATTTGTGCATATTACAGGTATGAACCTGACCTAATTCAGTGGTTTTACATCAACCATCACGCTCTACAAAAAACAAAGACCGTTTACCAGACTTATTTCCATAAGTCTCTAGTTTGGTGCACCCACACCTCGTGACAAAAACTGAAAGACAATCATCTGTGCAAAAGTTTATCTTATTCACCACATTTGTATTGAATGACAGTGCTTCATGTTCACATGTATCAGAGCTGAGATCAGCAAGAAAACGTCTTTAATGTTTGCAAAAACAAACATTTACTACAAGCTACAGCTTTTGATGCTGCTGAATTGAACTAAGTTATACTGACGGGTGTTTCTAAGAGTCTGTTGACATATTTATATCTGTGAAACGATAAACTGTATATAAATGGTCCTACAGCTTTTTTTTTTTATTTTACCTCATCCATTAATACCCTGCAGCTTCACGTGCTGTTTAAGAAACTTTTACATTTTAAGCAGTTACACACAATTCCCTATCAAAGCCCAGACAGTTCAGGTGCCTCCCAATGGTGTGTCCGCTCCCCCGTCCTCTCCACAATATACACTGATGAATGCACCAGCAGCCATCCAGGAAACATCGCCGTTACATTCTCAGATGACACAGCTAAGTATTTAAGAGTTCAGAGTGATAACACGCTCAGGTGGAGGGGACACCTGACTGTGTTATTACTAAGCATTAAACAAACACTAAGGCTCTGTGGTTTTGAGCAAATACTATAAACACCATGTAAGATGCACCTGGCAACAAGTGCATCTACAGTAACATGCTTCCCTCAGATCACAGTAAAGAAGTGAGAGTCTTACTCCAGCTTTGTGCCGCAGAGCTCGGCCCTCTCCAGCAGTTCTCTGAAACTCGGCCAGCTGCTCCTCCAGCAAACGATCAAAGCTCTTCTGGTCATCAGAGCTGGGGTCCTTACTGTAATCTTTCCCCTCAAAGTAGTACATGTGGTCTGGAGGATGGAACAGCATGATGGTGGGTGTAATTACTCATCACAAGCAGAGAAACCTTTAATGATGGCTGGAAATGTAAATATGAACCCTGATTATTACATCTGTGGTGTGTTTTCAAGTGATGTTAGGTTTGCAGGTCAAGAACAAAAGTAAAAGTGAGATGTTTACAGCACATCAGTGGTGAGTTACAAAAAGAAATTCATATGTGGTAACCTCAAATCGGGTTAAGAACTGAATACTCTGCACAGATGAACAAAGCCACAGTGATGTGAGATTTTAAAGTGGTCATTGGATAGTAAAACATACTCTGCCCATCAGACTCAGAGCCGTCCTCCTCCTCCTCCAGCTCTTCTCTGAGCAAAGTGGAGTCTTCATCTTCCACCCACTGACCGCCACGTGACAAACCGAGGATCTTCTCCATTTTCACATCCTGTACCGAACTCTCTTCTGATGACAACAGCTTATCTACCCCAAACTTCAAGATCTCACTGAGCTGTGTGAGACAGGAAACATGGGTGGTGAATAAAAGTGCTGAAAACAAACTAAACTGTAGGGCTTTTTAGGCCAGTGAACACAGGAACTGAAAACTACAGGATTCAAAGAATGTTATTATAGTGATGTATTTTGTGTGCAATGGTAATGTTCACAAACCTGCAGTCCTGCAGCAGCTGTCTGAGCTTGATCCAGTAAAGAGAAACGACCTTCTTCAATAACAATGTTGGTGAGGTGCAACTTGGACACAGCACGAGAGTACATGATCTCCTCCACAGTGTCTCTGGCAAGAAGGCGGATCACTTTCACAGGCCTGTAATAAGTCACAGTAAATCAAATATTAAAGGGGTTCTACAGAAATTTAGTATTGCACTTACGCTTTGGGGGTTTGAGAGAAGATTTAAAAAATAATGGCTGATATCCTTGCAACAGAGGCTGAGGCGCCCTGAGGTTTAGAATATATAGTTCCCATAATGCAGCTTAAAGCCTCTTTCTGCTGCCTCTGCTGCCTATGAAATGCCCTCAACTTTCAAATTCCATGCCCCTAGTTTTACACATCAGTCTGGTTGCAGGCAGTACTACTGCATGTGATATGAAAACATGTATCCTTTTGTGACTACAGGAAGACAACTTGTCACAAGAAATGTCACTTCAGTCAGTGCTGTTTGGGACTACACTTTCACAAATGCCAGACCTCTTTAGCCCACTGCTCATCTCTGCTTGAGGCTAGAAGCTAACAGCTACATTAGTTGCTACTAGCATAACACGCCTCACATGACCAAACTGTCACAGGTCAAGCTGCATTGTGTGTAATGCAGGCACAAGGTTTTGAAGTGGAATAAAAATGCATGGAATGAAAGAAAATTCTGGTTCTACTACATCAATTTTTGAATTCAACAGTGATACAGGAGTGCAACGGCTAAGTCATGTGCATACAGCACTCTTTCGGATAAGCCTAATAGCAATGTTAGTGTTTTTTTCTTAGTCTTTTGACCCGCAGAGCCTTTACACAACTGTTTTCACACACAGAGTAGTGCTCTCCTTGATGAGTAAATTAACCTTGATACATAAAAACGGGGCAAGCCCCTCTAACAAATCCTTAAACTTAGTACAGCTAATCGAAGTGGAATAGTGCAGCGTAAACTGCTCCGAATCATTTGTCATGCACGTCACCTGTTCTGACCAATCCGATGGCAGCGCGCAGCAGCTTGCAGGTCATTTTGAGGATTGAAGTCACTATCCACAAAAATGACAGTGTCAGCAGCTGTGAGGTTCATGCCCACTCCCCCTGCAGAAACAGACTGTTCAGAAGCCCGAGCATAATGTCTGAAAACGATGCCAAATTGTTATTTACAGACACTTATATGTCTTAGAGAAACATACACAGAGTGTTCAGCTGTAATAGGAAATAACATTTCTCTCCTTCTACTTTCTGCAGAAGAAGAGAAAGTGCTGGCCTTATTTACCCCAGTGCATCATCCTGCCACAGCTTTTATCTCTGTGTGATCAGTCCCCTTTCCTCTCTCAGTTAGTTCTGTGAACCCTGCTGTAGATTTAGATACTGTATGCAGAAAAGCTCACCAGTGCAGCTCAGTCACCACTGACGTATGTAAAATTACTGTGTTATCTATAGACCTACCATAATGTTGTTTGGAAGATGCAATTCATCATTTACAGCATCTTAAATGATCACCTTTAATGAACTTTAGCACAGAAAGTCAACTGAGCAGTGAGCAAATATTTTAAAAGGTCTGTGAACAATTTATCTGACTAACATGGCTGCAAAACTAAAAAGCAAGGCTCAAAAAAATACCTTGTATTACTAGTAAAAGCAAATAATAGCACAAATAGTACAAAAAGCAAAATACTGTTTCCAATAATCCTCAGTCCTTGTACATTAACAAGCACAATATGAACATCACTGACACCTGATAATGTTCAGTTTAATCCTGCACATAGCACAGTCTGCCTTCCTGTTCATACTTTGAGGTTTCAGTCACCTGCTTTAGTGCTGAGGAGAAAGACAAATATGTCTTTGCTGCTGAAGTTCTTCACTGCTAGATTTCGCTCTTCCCCTCGGACAGACCCATCCAGACGTTCATAGCTATGACCTGATCAGAAAAAAAAAATATTGTAACATTTTCTAGGAAGTAGTATAAATAATAGAAAGCTAAATGCAAATGAATAAAGAATCATGTAGCCTGTGAATGTAGAAATATTTAAATTGTGGTAGAATTTTGTGATGTTTTTAAAGCAATGGAAGTAAAGCGGTTTAAGAAATGGACTGAACCATGTGTTGAACCAAATACATGTTAAACTTTTGCTAAACTGGAATCACCATAACATCAGACAGTTCAAATCAATGAGTAAAGCATGTGATTTATTAGAGCTTGTCACCCCCTTGTTCACCTCTGTACTCCATGTAATCCTGAAGAATGTCCAGCATCCTTGTCATCTGAGAGAAGAGCAGGACCCGGTGGCCCCTTTGCACACAAACATGAGAAATGAGAACTAAAGTAAGACACTATATGTTACTTCAAATATGACAACAAGTACAACTATGTGCTCCCAAAGTTACCACGCCACTACAGTGACGTAGTTGCAGACTGAACATACACTGCCACCAGGTGGAGCCAAAAACTAACCCTTTGTACAGGTAGGTCAGCATGCTGTCTAGAAGGCAGAGTTTCCCACTGGCTTCAATAAGATGCTCCCCCATCTCAAAAGGCTCTGGTTCCACCCCTGGCCAGAAAGTAAATATTAAAAAACATATAACATATGCTTCCTATTTGCAAAAACAAAGATCAGTCCTATTAATGCATCTCACCATCAAACAGGTATGGGTGGTCAACACACTTCCTCAGGTTCATCAAGATGTTCAGCAGCCGGGTCTTGTTGCCTTGTTCATTTCCAAAAGCCTCTGAAAACAGAGATTTATGAGAGGTGAGTCTATGATTGACTGAGTCTGTGAAGATTTTTGGGTGGGGTTGGCACACAGCACTGCAGAAGTCTCACCCAGGTCCTTCGTCAGAATAGCTTTGTAGTATTTTTTCTGCAGAGCTGACATGCCATGGTACACCACCAACTCTGTTTTCTTGGGCAGATCCACAGCCACCTGCGACTTGACTCTACGAAGCAGGAAAGGCTCCAGGATGCTCTGGAGCTCTGCAGCTAGAAACAGAAACAGGAAGACAGAACATCTATGTTGATTAAAAACATGAGCAATGCATCACATATGTACGTTGTTATACTCCTAATCACACAATATTAATGCATCATACCAAGAGCGGGTTGATTCTGTACATTTGAGTAAGAGTTGACAAAGTAGTCCATGTCATCAGCAGTAAAGATGCTGGGCTGAACGAAGCTCAGCAAGGAGTAGAGCTCCTGCAGGTTGTTCTGGATCGGTGTCCCTGTCAACAGGACTCTAAACCCCACTGCAAACTACATAAGAAACACACAAGCAAAATTGAATTAACTTGTCAGGACAGAGGCAAAAATAGTAGGAGAAATGAGGTGGCAATGGGTAAGGTGCAGCTAAATACCTCTGTTAAAGTTTTGTGTAATAGTGAGTTCTGATTCTTTAGCCTGTGAGCCTCGTCTACCACAAGCACAGCCCACTTTCTCCTGAGGAACAGAATGAGTAAGGGCATGGAAACGGGAATTAACATATGAAGAATCAGTATTATAGCGTTATGAAATTATTCCACACAGTGAGAGACTTTTTCTCAGAATCTCTTGTGGTAGGACGCCTCATCCTACAGTATGTAATATTATGTAAATGAAAACCAATTTTATGGCCCTTTTAAAAGTCATGAATAAAGTCAATTACCTTTAATTACCATGTATAATGCACATCTCATGCCAAAGTTTAGTGCACAAATCCATTCATGGATGACTGCTGTGTGCATACTGGCACCATTTCAATAATAATACAGGACTGGTTTGAGTCAACATTTACCGATATGCTCTTCACTGATAATGTCTCTTTAGGTAAAACAACAAAATCTCATTTCAAATCTCTGCTGATATGTATAACTACTGTATATGATCAATGTAAATTCACTCACCGTCTCAAGAAGGAAACATCTTTAAGACACAGCTGGAAATAACAAAATTAAAAAAAAAACAAACAAGTCAGCTTCAACTTAGATGAAATTTCCATTTTTCCAAAAGGAGCCACAGACCTCATATGTAGTGAGCAGGACATGGAAGTCCTGTGTGTGTGTTTCCCTCTGAATCTCAGCTCGTCTCTCTTTATCTCCCTTGTAACACAGCACAGTCAGAGAGGGGGCGAAGCTGTAAGCATGTAAAACACAAGTTGAGGATTTTCCATAAGTAGTTTAGAGTCTATGACAGATGGTGTTATGACCAGACCATCAATTTCAATACAGAAAATGAATGTAGAGTCATGTGTGAATGTGACTGTACCATTCCAACTCCTTTCTCCAGTTCTCCATGACAGAGAGCGGGCTCAGGATTAAAAACTCTCCTTTCTTCCCAAGAGCTCCCGACATGTACACCAGCAGGGAGATTGTCTGAAGGGACAATCAGGATTAGGAATTCTGTGGCATGTAATATGCAGTCATGACATCTTTTTACTCAGAGATAACAGTGCTTGTGCCATTTACGAGGCATGCATGTAAAAACATCGGTCTGACTGTCAAACAGAGGTGCGGTACCTTGGACGGGTCAGTAGTCTAACACACAGAGACAAACAATCACGCTCACACCTATGGCCATGTCAGTGGATGTGAGGGGAGGAAACCAGAACATCCACAGGAAACACAGGCACAGGGAGGACATGCAATGGCCTACGCCACCCTTCTTACTGTGAGGCGACACTGCACAACCGCGCCACCACAACTGTACAACTTACCATTACCGGAATGACTCTCAGTTATAGAAACAAGTCATAGGTACAAGAAAAATCAATCAGTGTGGCTATTAAGTTGCAATCTTTTGAAATGTAGAGATCAATTAGGTAATTACAAATGCCTACATGTGAATTTAAATATTTTTTTGCCACAGCGTATTGTTATATTTGGATAATACAAATGGAAACAGGCCTTTTCACAGACTTGTCATATTACTGAAGGAGAAGCACAGGTGCGAATAATAAATTTGATGATGGCTGAATTCCATTTGGCTGCTTCAGCTCAGGGTCCTGTTATTGTGTGTACTGGCTCACTGTCACAATGTCATGGCTCACTGGGACACTCGAGTAGAACGGAGCCATTGCTGCTGTTGTAGTAACACTTGTGGCTTCTTACTAGAACAATGAAATAAAACCCCATCTTGGCCACAGTAACCAGTGAAACAATCAGGTATTCACAAATAAATAAAAACATTGCTATGCACCACTATTAAAAGTTGCAACACAGACTTCTGTGTTACTGGCTGTCTGAATGTCCCACCTGACAGGTTTTTCCCAAACCCATCTCATCCCCTAAGATGCATCCCTGCTGGTTCTTGAGGCACTGGGTTAACCACTGCACCCCATCCAGCTGGTAAGGTCTCAGCTGTATCCCTGTGAGAAGGAAACAGCTCGTCACTGCTGGGACTCGTTTAGGCGAACAAGGCAAGCAGGACGATCTAATGTGAGCCATAATAAGTCAGGCAGGAGAAATACTAACATGATTTGTCTGAGAGAAAATACTACAGTCGGGTAGGTACTTATCTTACCAAATGAATGAAGATAAGTTAGTGATTTTGCCTTACCTTTTAAACCCCATTTCTGTAAGTCTCTCTGATCTACCGTCGTCTTCTTTTTCTCTGCCACGCTATTTTTTATTTTGAATAAAATGTCCGTCATGTTTCCAGAGTCAGAGAACTAAAACAAACGTGCTCGGTGGTGTTGTCATGTCCGACTACACTTCCTGACTGGGTCACGTGATGCTATAGGGAAAAGGCGCGTTGCTCCGTCAACCAGCCGCCATTCACTTAAAATATGTTAGTTATATATAGATATGCATTAAAATACACAAGATCACATCAAATTTATTTATATAGCACTTTAAAAACAACATCCAGTTGACCAAAGCACTTTATATGACCAGAATAAAATCACGATAAATAAATAAGAGAACGTCCCACACATTTGCAGGATTTTCAGTATAACATTTTCCTGCATTAAAAATATTGCTGTATGTTGGCAGGGAAAGTAAGCTATAGCCTACACTAGAAATAAGCAAATCAAATTTCTTTAACTGCACATGTAAAAAGAACACGACGAAGGGCAAAGATTTGATGTGGGGCATCAGCAGGGAACCTGCTGCCTCCAAGCTCTCACTAATTTCTGTGCAACCAAATGTCCTGTGCAGAAACAATACCTGTAATTTGATTAAACACAACTTTAGTGAGGACTATGTACCATGTGGGGACAATATGAACTAAGATAACTGCACAAGATAAGGCCAGATAATTAGCTAATAATGCAGAACCAACCTCAGTTGACTTTGACTTTAGTGGTAAAAATAACCTCACAGTTTTGTAGCTAATCAAACTCTTAAAACCAGTGAATGAACCTGGGGCTTTTGTTGGCCCACATGGTTTACTTTCCACCACTGACCGCACATTATGTATATGAAAATAGTATATAAGATAATAAATGTATAAATATAAGATATATTTTATATAATTATCATTAATGCAGTGTTACTTGTTAGAATTAATTTAGCATATAGAAACTTAAAAGACGGACATGATACACGTGTACTACTGAACTATTACGGAAAAAGTTCATAGTTTGTTGACAAATTATGTGAAAGTTCAACTACAATTCTATAACTGTCTTTTCCCAGATTGAAATTTACACAGAAGGTGAAGATTCTAACAGTATTTTAACTATACAACTACACCAAGAAGATACAAAACAGAAAATACTGTAAAACAGCAATTAAACCTTTTATAACAATTGTCATGCCATGGTCAATGTTTTCAGTATTATTAGTACTGGAACACTACTCATGAATGATTTACTAAGACAAAGAGATATACAGTAACTAGTCAAATGTGGTTTAGGTTTGGGTGGAAAAGTAAGGATTTGGGGAGGCGGGCTGATTTTTGATTTAGGGGTTTAGAGATTGAGGTATGGGTAAGTGGTGTGGAAGAGGAAGTCAGTGCAGGGTGGGGGTGGGCGGTGGTGAAATGGGAGTGGCAGATAAATGCAGGATGGTAGAGTCTTCCAATTATTTTAAAGATTCTGAGATTTTTTTCCCTCAGACTTTTTAGTTTTTTAAATAGTGTAGATGACATCATCTGATGCTGCAAATTCGCTGCAGTAAGCCAGTTCTTCTTTTTGTCTACAGCAGGGTCTTAGTAAGCTCCAGGAGACGGGACTTTTCTTACTGCTACCAGTGTCATATCCAAGTTCTCTTGTGCCTGGATCCTTTCTCCATCTGCTTGGCCAGGAGACAGGATGAGTCCTCTTTCTGTCTCATTCTCCAGGACCTTGTCAGCCTGAACTAGCCCATCATTCTGGAGGTTTCATCTCCAGAGCCCTCTCTAGTTGTTTTTTTTGTTTTTCCATTTTAAATGGTGCATCCCTATCATGCTCCTTTTGAGGAAGCACAAGGTTTGAAAGGCTGAGTTTGTCTCTACTATTTTTTTCATTCAGCTGCTCTATTTCCACCTCAAGGCCACCTTTTCTTTCACCAGTTTGTGTTCCTCCTTCTCTACCATCAGCCAGTGAGCTTAGATTCCACACTGTGGGCACTGCTCACCGTAGACCTCACACTGGTTTTACATGAACAGTCTGCTGTGGTTCCTCTGCAGTGTCATGGCGCTGGTTCAGCTGTGTTCTCTGAGCCCACAGGTGTTCTCTGAGTGATGTGTTAAATCCAGGACCACCTGTCCACATTCACTTTCCTCCGCTGTCTGTTCTGAAACTGCCAGTTTAAAGGCTTTCTGGAGTAAAGGCTGTCCTGCTTCATCAGCAGCAGGGCAGTACAGGTTGCTCAACTCTTGATGTCTGTGCAGCTTCTCAGTCATCCAGGTCATAGTAAACTGAAAAAATCAACTGGACTTAGATTTCTAGGTCAATCAGTCAGAACTGATGAAGCCTGATGAACTGATGAAGTTTTTTCAGTCAACTCTTGAAGGTTTTCCAAAAGTTGACCATCTCAGCTGCATCTGATTTGCCTGCCTTGACAGATTTGAGTTCCTCCGCCACGTGCTGTTGTTCTGCGCTTTCCACGTCCCGCTGCTCAAACTCTGCCGACTTGTCCGTGTAGAGTATAGTGACTTCCTGATTCCAGGCCGCATGCAGAATAACTCTACTCCTGTCTCTATACTGAAATTGCTTCTGGACATTTAGTTTGATTAATACAGGTCAACCAATCAGTTAATTCTGAAATTATTTTAATATATTATCTTATTTGAGTTTCTTTATTTTCCCCCCCATCTATTACAATTGTACAACTTTTACAGGACCATAAAAACAAATATCATTAAATATATACAGTGTAACAAAAACATGCACTGATAGATGTCACAAAAATGTTGCTTTGTTCACACACTGAATAAACACGAGTATATGATACTGGTAAATGCTAAAGACACTCATACTAGACATACTATGTTCCAGGTAGACTTACAAACAGAACAGAGGGATGTTATGGTAATGAACACAGTGGCAAACATACTGTAAGTGTATAACAATCAAAGTCAATTTGCAAACACTATTTCTGATTATTTCCTTCAATAAAAAGTGGAGACAATCTTTAACAATTACCAAAGACAGGTAATAAACACCAGGTTTGGCTAAACTGTTACTACGTAGACCGTTTAAAGCCCTTCCTTAAAAGAGAAGATATTTTAAAATTCTAAACACCATATTGGCCACCAGAACCACAGCCTACATGTGGATATGATTCCTAATCTTAACTGCAACATTTTCATGCTGAAACTCCTTGACTATGGTTCTATATATAACTTCTGATCAACCAGTGATTGTGCACTGTGTTATGCTTCACATCATTGCTCAAATTATCAAACTATTTAAAAGCAGAACACTTATGAAATATGTTTAACATCACTAGACTGACAAATGTCAGTTCATACTGGTCAGTTTTAAGACATGTGAAGCTTAAACATACTTTTGTTTATACCGACTCCTCTCAGTGACAAAGAACAGAAAGGATGTCATGTGTTCATTTACAAAACTATGAAACTACTCATTAAAACTGGAAAAAAAACATCAATACATACCAATGAATCTGCTCAATTAAGGAAGCACAGACAAGAAATAGAAACATGGCTGAGTTAAGATGTGTCTTGTTCGCTGTGCAGAGAAGAGTCACAGAAGCACAGGTAGGCGGTTTCAGCAGCTTCAGAAAGAGACCTGCCCCTTTCTTAAGAAACACTTCACTCAACCTTCAGCACAAACACACAGCCACCAGCTTCAATATTGCCTCCCTGGAAAGTAATTGACATGAATCAGACATGCATGCATGATTCTTATTCTGAACATTTATGCAGCAGATTTCATTAAATTGTGTAAAAGCGACAAACCTCGCACACGGGATGTATGACAGGCTGTACCTGGAAACCAAACACATTTTTGTCACAAACTGACAGTAACCTTTAGACTGAAACAACCAGTTAAAATTCAAGAGGAATGGCAACTCACCAGGTAAATGCTATAATTTGCAAGATGCAAAATAATATACAAAGGCCAAAGTTCTTCCACTGTAAGAAAGACATGACTGCTGTGAAAGACTGGACATGCACAGTACTGCATTGTGTACAATCAATAAACTGGCTGATCATGACTGTTTATCCCCTGCTCACTCACCCAGAAGGCTGCGCAGAGAGTCAAGACAAGGCAAGTCTAAAGCAATAAATGGCACATCATTAACATGTCATTTTTGAAAATGGACATACTGTTTGGTGCTAAATACACTGATAGATTGCTGGATGTGCTGAAACTTCCAGATAAAGCACCAAATCCGATTTAAAGTGGAATTTTAGCAGGTTATTATTTCCATAGAATACTTGCTTTACACTGGCCGTTTTTTAAAACAACTTTCATCATATCCTTCCAAGTTGTGCTTGAGTGCAGATCCAGGATTAATAAGCAAAAAGTACACAAGTTCTCCGTTTTCACTCCACCCATATTTCCATGAACGTAAATTACACCAACAGAGTGAAAGGAGAACTCAACAATTGGGTTTGTGCACGTACAATCATAATAATGGTGGCGAGTGCTCGTGTTTTGTCGCACATCCTTTTCAGCTGCTTCACTGGCCCCATCAGAAACATGGTGCTGTGGGACAGGATCACAGAATAATTTATGCAAATGTAACAACTTCATAATTTTGTTAAAGTTTATATTCAATATTCTACATAAATACTACATGCTGATACAAAACCATCACATTTACATCATCAGCTGTTTTAGTTGTTGTTGACACTGACCTGCACAGAGCACATACGTTTCCAAAAGTGTACAAGACAATGAAGAGAATGATCCCAATCCTGGGGATGAAGAGCAGACCCACTCCCTGCAAGACACACGTGAAGACAGTGGCTCACACTTTCTATCCAAGATGCAATAGATAAGTCTAACTTCTTCCTACTCCGTTCAAGCATGTACTAGGTATAAGCAAATTGATAATGCATTTGTGGATATGTGTGAAATTATGTGTGTTGACATATTGACTGTCTTTACACGTTTGAAAGAATAAATCAAAATCAAATCAAATCAATTGCCGCTTTAAGGCAGGACAGGTGTGTGTTGCCAAATCAATGAACACTACATCTGCAACATTCCTTAAAGCAAGAAGAACAGGTGAGGCCACTTCAGCTCCCCCTGCGCTCTTCCTCATTGCGTGGAGCATACCAACACACATAGTAGAAATGATTAGAGACCCCTACCAAAAGGGTGCAGCCGGCGCCCAACACGAAACAGACCACGAAACCCTTCACGCGTGTGGCCCAGCTTAAGGTTGAGGCTTGGTTCACTGTCTGCGTTAACAGAGATTACATTCAATTGGCGTCTCATCTAGGATGACAGTTTGAACGCCGAAGATCTAGTTTAGTATTTTTACCTCCAAAACGGTTCGGTCCTCTCTATTCGCCTCTTCACCACTTAAAACCGATTTTAATTTATCCATAGCTGAAGATGCGACTGGATCTGAAGAAGTCGGGTTGTTTTTAGGAGCAACAGAAGGAAATTGCCGGGCTCCTCAAATCTGTAGGAATGAACAGGGTCACGTGGCCACTGGCAGTCTGAGGAGCAGTAATCTTACCTGGCCAGGTGGATGACTTCGTCACACCTGAGTGAAGAGGCGTCTCACTTGGATCTGTTTTTCAAAGTGGTACACAGAAAATTTGACCAAGGTGTATCCAGATTAAAACAAGTCACAAAATAGGCTGTCTACTGAAATGTGTCATCTTATTTTAGGTGTTTAGTTTACATGTATTTTCTTTTTTTTATCAAGTATTATCACCTTAGATTCATATAAGATAAGATAAAGCTTTATTAGTCTCACAATGGGGAAATTCACAAGACTGCAGTAACAGAGGGATAGAAACAAGGCACTCGGTAGTAAAAATGAAAAAAAAAAAACAGACAATATATTATGAATATAAGTATAATAATAAAAAGTAAAGCTAATATTTATTAACAGTTAACAGTCTACTGGGACCAATGCTGGTTGTACAGCCTGACAGCTGCAGGGAAGACCCGTGATAACACACCATCACACACTTGGGGTGGAGCCGTCTGTCACTGATGGAGCTTCCCAGTGCCCTCAGTCTCATGCATGCGGTGGGAGTCCTTCTCAAGTAGGAGTGTTAGTCAAGCTAACATCCTCCTGTCTCCCACCACCTGCACTGGGTCAAAGAGACTTCCCAGGACAGAGTTGGCCCTCTTGACCAGTTTGTCTAATCTTTTCCTGACTGTGGTCGAGATGCTGCTGCCCCAGCAGACCACTCCATAGATGGCTGATGCCACCACTGTGTCAAAGAAGGCTATTAGCCAACATCATGGCCTACGTGTAGCCTGGAGTTTGTAGGACCTAAGCGTCCCGCATGTTCTACAAGTTGTTTTATTATTATTTCAGCCCTGGACTTCTCAAGCACCGAGTGACTGGTCTTCTTCATTTCTGCTATACAGCAGATACAGTGTATATGTATTATTCTGGCCAGACAAAAATAAGCCTGCAGGCATCATTTATTAGCCACAGGATACAATTACAGTACTATCGCCTGCTGAGATGATTCTGTGATGCATGAGTGAACATTAATGTGCTCATGTGATGATTTGTGGTGCAAATCATACAGTACATTGTTAAGGCATTAAGTCACACTTAGTGTAATAAATTCCGCACAAAAGAAAACATAAACAACAACATGGTCTGTAATAAAGTCAAGTAGCAAAGTCCAAACATCTGAACAATTTTAATAAACTTCCTATTGTTTGGCATTGAGTTTGACTCCTGTGTGACTCTGCCTCCTAATATTGTCCCACAAAAAGTCACATACAATATTTTCAAGTAATGAATGCTGTACTGATGAGGATGGCGACTGCCTGCACCACAAGATGGCACTACTGAACACTAGAATGTTTACCATGAACATTATGGGAACAAATGAAAAGTAAGCAATCCATAAAAAGTTCACCCTTGTTCTCATATGTGCAGATGAATAATAAAATAATATGACAGAATATAGGCCTATGGAAAGTATTAGAAACTGCAAAATAAATAGCAATGAACAATAAAAGTAAAGCTAAAGGGGGTTTCCAGCTGAATAAAACAAAAGGTATACAGATAGTATAATTATAATATGATAATATCCCTGATTTACCAGTTTCTATACATGAGTCACAATGAAGGTGAACAACTGTCCTCTTCATAAAACCTCATCCTCTGATTCTGGGTCCCCCTCTCTGGGCTTCAGAAGCCCCATTTCCATCGGAGGTGTCCTCTTCAGTCTGGAGCGAACCACGCTACAGAGAAAGCACAACAAACTGCAGCGTCACACATACAGTAACAAACTGTTGTGACAGAGTGGCATTAGGAGCATCAAACTGTTAGTCCCAGTCAGGAAGAATCTGTAAGACTTCCACTACAAATATACAAGCAGCAGGTTATGGGATGTCTGTGGTGGAGCGGGTTCTCACCAGCTGATGGTGCAATAGAGCACGCTCACGACCAGCATGGCAATGGCAAGGTGCCAGGAGTAACACATGGTGACAAACATCATATTGTTGTGATCCTTCAGGTCCCACTCAGGGCCACGGGGAGGGTAAAGCACATACCCAATCTGTGTTCAAAGAGAGGGTACCATGAGGAGCCAGTACTGCCATGGACTTCAGCTCAAACATGGAAGTATTCAGATTTACCTGCCAAAACCAGCTTCCCTGCAGGGTAGTGAGGGTGCAGCGAAGCAGCTCCAGAATGATGTTGCCTCGGTGGAAGACCTCCAGGAAGGCAACAAGAGCCTCGCCAAAGATAGCATAGAGCAGGAGCTGATGTACATGGACGTCCAACATACTCCTGCCGTGGAGGTGGTAGAGGAAAAGAAATCCTGCAGAAACAAAAGAGATAAGAAGCGAGGAGTAAACAAAGGTTTGTCAGTTTATCCATTTAGTATAAGATGTTGACATTTGTGATTGCCAGTCTGACAAACTGTCAAGTGGTATCTTGACTGCATTTTTGTTTAGTTACCTATAGTTATAATAATTCATTCATGTCCACTTTTTTGAGTGAGCCTCTTTAGACCTATTACAAAAGATGCTAACACAGGATATACTAGGTTATATAGCTACTGTCTAAATCACTGATTCCCTACCTGGGCTACTTGTACCTCTAAACATTTGTCACGTTTGCTCTGCTCGACCTGCCTCTCTCCCTCTCTCTCTCCTTTCTGCAGGCAATCTGTCTCAGTCGTGGCACACACCTGTGCTGACTTACACAGCTGAGACCGCTTACCTATCAGCCACATCCTACTTAAGACTCAGGCAGAGGCTTCTCCAGTGCCAGTATGTTGTGGACTACTGCCACAACACTTTGGCTCTTATTGATGAAACTGGTCTGCTACTACATGACCTCTGACACCACATACCTTTGGGTGTCCTCCATCTACCAGTTACCTCATCTTTGTCTCCCTGGACAGGCGTCATCCTCCTCAGGTCAGACAGGCTGCCATCCTTTGCTTCACTCATTCTTTCCTGTCCTCCCTGTTGTTAGAACCTGCTGCCTCAGACCGCTACATCCAAGCTACACTACGCCTTTCTTGCCTATCCTGCTGTCAAGACCTGAGATCTCAGCCTGCCACACTCAGCTCCTCTCCTTGCTGTGAACCACCGATTAATCTACTCCTCCTGTGTATTGATTCCCTGATCACTGCATCTCACCAGCCCCAAGATTCTGGACTATCATTACCACCTGCTGTTATTCTAAATAAACCACTTGCCTTGAACTGTGAGTCTGACTCCTGAGTCCAGCCTGTCTGCTCACTTCATCTCTGCGAGTGAGCAGTCCTAACAACATTACAGTACATTAGCTAAACTAATTTAAAATAAAAACTGAAATTCCAATTTTATTTGAAAATATATATTCACACATATTTTGCTATAACCTGAATAGGATGTTGCAATTTTGTGAAAATATGTCAGCAAGCAAACAGAAACAAAATACACAGGTTAGATGGTTGAAACTGACTACGAAAACCAAATATACAGTTGAAATGATTAACTTTAGTTAAAAATGGCTGAATTGCTTATGTAATGGTAAATATAAGGGTAACTGATCATTTCAAATTGTCAGCTACAATTAATGTATAAATGGTGTAAACAGTTAAAAAATAATGAATACACAAGTCAGACAACATTAGCTAAAAATAATAAATGATTGAGGCCTAGCTTCTGCCACTGGCAATACAAATGCAAACTTAACCAAACCAACATGAACACTAACCTATAAATGATATGAAAATATTTATAGTGTTAAACTATGGCCAGTTAAAAATTCATTCAGATGCCAGAACACGGCAGGGTGGTGGTGTTGAAGGGGCACATCTTACAACATGGCTGGGAACCACTGGCCCAAATAAATGACATCAAAATGAAGACAGGAAATTAAAAATGTCATCTTTTTTTTTTTTACCTTCATTAAAGAAAGCAATAGCCAGCATTAACCTATCCAGTGCCAGTGGGGCAGCCTCTGTGATGTGGATAATGAGAGATGCAGTCCCAGCCAGGCCAAAGAACAGGTACATGGTGGCATGCTGCCAGTTCGTTAGTTGATCCCAGTGTTTCTCTGCAAAGTCATACAACTGGAGCTTCGGCCCATCTGCAGCAAACTGCTCTGCTAGCATCCCTGGGAAAGACGGTGGAAGAAACACTGTGTGACATGTGGACTGGTGATCAAACTGCTGTTTTCAAAAGGACTATTATAGTGACCTGCTTACCAACAAAAGCGCAAAAGAGCATGACAGAGCTTTCAAATATCTCCAGACGGCGCTGTGAGGCTCTGCTGGCCAGACGAGTCGAACCTATGCTCTTGTTCCTGCGGGTGGCGTGCCAGACCGAATACTTTCCTGTCCACCAGATCCCAGCTAGAAGGAAGAAACATCCAGGGAGCGCATGACCTTTGAAGCTTCCCATGGTTCACGACACCTGAATCATGGGAGGAAACTGATCTGTTAGTTGTTATGAATGATCTATCCAATCCACAATTGAAAAGAACTACGGTTGTTGCTCTCACAATAATCTAAAAATTCTTCTTGCACAAAGAAAAACACAACTTTGTTTTTCAACATAAATCAGGTGTTAATCTCATTATTGCCTCTATATTACACCAGCAAGTAAAACATCTTGGTTTCCTTTAAAAGGAGCTAGTAAATGAACTGAAACAAACCAGATCATTTCACCTCATATGCCATTTGTGTTCTTCCAGTAGCGTGGGGATACACAGTATTTATAGCATGGCTGGTACAAGTGAAGGAATAAGAAACAGGAAGGGAAGAGTGCAGTTTAGTCAAACAGCATAATCAGACATAATTAATGTATCACCCTCCATCTGACCTCACAGAACTGTTTCTGTTCAGAACCGGGGGGACCTGTTAGTGTCACAAGTCTCACTTTTACTTTAAAATCTGTGAACCTGTCTGTTTCACTGCCCAGTATAAAACAGCTGTTCTTCTTTTCTCCTCTGAGCTATAGCCTACGACCACTCTCTCTATTAACTAGCACTGACTGCAAGCTCTCCTTGGTAATAATTAGCTATCATTTCCTCAACAATTAAACCTGAACTTGATTGATGTGTGCTTTTGTATGTGGGCACAGACCAGGATGTCATCTGCCGCCTACAGTACATTCCCTCAATACAGCAGACATGATCAAAAACAAACAGGCTACCATTTCAAAGTTGGTCATGTCCATGGCGCATCGCCTCCTGGTTTCACTGTAAATATTAAGTGATTTTATTCAAAGAGTATAAAGAATCATTGTAAACCTGCTAGACCAATTTTAAGTGCCCTTAACTGTAAATAACGCTTGGTGAAATCTGAGAGCAAAAGCAGGAGTGACATGAATACTGAGCAGAAATAAAGAATAAGGAGCATGGCTGTAGTCTCCTTTGTAATGGAAATGACAAGTAATAGTGTGCCTGACAACAAAAGGAACCATTTATAGGAGGACACTCAATACAGCCACACTGTTTTTGATGTTAAACCGAACTCATCTGTGTCAGACATGCGCGCATCCTCTCCAGACTGAGGAGAGCTCTTTGGTCTCCAGGACAAATGCTGGCTCATATCATATGGAGCGCTGCTCCATCAACAGCTACATCTGTGCTGTCAGTGGTTCACATACTTCTTCACATTAAGTCATTCAGTAAATACACACTTTTTATTTTCTAAGCACTTTACTCACATACTCTACTCAGTTAAATTTTGATATATTTGCGCTTTCCTTGAGTATTTTCACCACACATTACATTTATTTATCAGTTGGTTAGGACTTCATGCAAAAAATAAGAACAGCGTATAAACTTACAATACACAACATTGATTCACCTTGACCAATTACAACATTAAAGTATCACTTACATGTTTAGGCATCAATAATATCAATCAAATAATATAATAATACCACAATGACAGGTCCCATTCTGAATCAGTACATTTTTTGCTAATACGCCTGTTTAACTACTACTATTTAACTAACATTTCAAATGCAGGGCTTTTACTTAGATTGACTGCCTAAATATGGCTATTTTACTAATATAAATAATGATTATACTTATTTTTTAAGATTATGAAACTGCCTATGGAGAAACAAATAATACTGAAAGCTAAAATCATATGCATCTCATTCTTACAGACCAACATACAGTGTTGTCATTAAAATAAACTGTGCCTAGTGAAATAATTGTGGGTATATTTGATTCTTTGGAGACAGTGAAAATCTTTAAGGAACCCTGGAAGACTCGACATCCTACAGTTAGGAGCCACTGGCCTAATCATAATAATAATAATAATAACAACAACAAATGGGATAGTAATGTGATATAACAATAACAGAGTTCAACTTACTTTGAAAGGAAACTGGATTTTAATTAACAATTACATATGTTTAAAACTAATCATCACCATTTTAGGACTTTCATCAGCTCACTGGGTTTTTTTTTTTTTTTTTGCTTGGTGGTTTATCATTCTGCAGACGGCCTATAGCCTGTTGAACAAATGTAAAAAGCAACTCATTCGGTGTATTACCATGAAATAAATGTTGCCATCAGAGATTACTGGTCATAAAAATCAATATAAAGATGAGGTTTACCGAGTCTGCACATGAACTACACACTAAAAGTTTCGTGTGCTTCTTATTGAGGCGGGCTGTGGAGGCTGTGGGCCTGGGTCAACAGGACCCACGGTACAGGACACAGCAGCCTCCAGTTCCTCTACAGTACAAAGAAAAGGGGTCTTACCCAAGTAGGTTCCCTACGGATGAAACGTTGCTGGTAGTATATTCGGGCCGAAAAATCAGAGTATCCTCATCATTTCCCGGTAGGAGGTAGGAGATGAGAGATTTCCCGTCTGTTCTTCAACAAGACACGAAGCGAACTTCTGCTGTCTCCTCCTCGGAGCCTGAGTCCCAGCAGACTCCTGACCCGCTTCACAGCCTTCTCCCCCGAACTGTCCGTCTCTGAACAGTTGGACTTTTACTCCTCAGTAACCTTCCCCATTGGATGGCTGAGGTGAGCTGGCGTCGTCTGCCCTTACTGTTACTGGCTGGGGGGCACGTCAGTCTCACGCGTCCACGTGTGCACTTTCACTCCGCCTGTTCGGAAACCGCTATTTTCCATCCAGACAGGCCAGGACGAACCCGGACAAGAGACCTCAGCCCAGGGAGTATGAGGTCAACAATTAACTACAGAAAACAAATCAGCCATTGTTTTACTGTGAAACAGTAACTTTTTCCTTTCTTTCTAAAAACTCGTATTTAAACACACTTCAACTTTATACTGTTTAGTTCTGCTATTGTGCATATTATTTATTTGAGCACTGTAAAACAAGAGGGTGAAGTAGTGGTAAGTACTAAAGCATGAATAAGACTTCCTTGGTTGCAGACCATGCATGAGTGGCAGTGAACATCCGTTTTTCACTACATATACTACCAAGGAAAACATCAACAACAAAAACTTACTTTATTATCACAGGAAGAAAGAAAGGAAGAAGTGGTGAGGCCATTTGTTGTATGGGCTGAAACTAATCCAAAATAAACATATTGAGGAGAAGCAATTCTGGAATCAGCATATAAAATACACACACAATGTACATTCTTTTTACGGTAGAGTGTGAACTCTCCCCTGATTGCTAAAGCCCAGAAATTCTCTCCCAAAACATAGATAACATGACTTCAACTGCTGCCCTGCTTTTCAGTAGACAGAATAAAGCCACAATTCTTTCAAACATCAGTGTAGCTAATAACATAGCAAACCAAAGTGGAAGGTGGCCATTATAAAATTATCAGTTGCATTTGTATTTTAACTGTTAAGTCAAAATGTCTGTCTTTAGAAAGGCCTGTAATGGTGTTGCAATTGTTAGTACCTTTAAATGCTTATTATTGGCTTTTGTCAGGCTGCAGTTTCATAATCGGAACAATAAAAGCATCATTAAATAGCTACTGTAAATTATATATGAAGACAAAAACGTGTGCATGTTGAAAGCAAACCACATTTAGCAAGGGAGTGTCACCGCATGTTGAAAGTAAACCACATTTAGCAAGGGAGTGTCACCTCAGTGTGTTGTTCTTTAAGAGCGCAAGACCAGTGTAAACCAGTGTTGTGTGTCACAGACTGTGCTCAGGAAACAGTGAACATAGCTGTCTGGGCTGGAGCCAATCCCAGCCCAGACATTGGGTGAGAGGCAGGGTCCATCCTAGACATGTCGCCAGTCTATCACACGGTCGCCAGTCTATCACAGGGCTGACATGTAGACAAACAGCCACACATACTCACTGCTACGGACAGTTTAGAGTCATAAGTCAACCTAAGCTGCATGTCTTTGGACTGTGGGATGAATCCGGAGAACCCGGAGAGAACCCACACAGGCACAAGGAGAACATGCAGACTCTGCACAGAAAGGCCTCGGGTCGGCCAGGACTTGAACCCAGAACCTTCTTGTTGTGAGGTGACAGCACGCTAATCACTGCACCACCATTCCACCGCTGATCTCACTGTCCACAACAATTTGCTTTTTCATCGACATGGACTGAATCTGCAATAAATAAAAAGCACCAACCATAATAAGTTGAAATATACAAATACTTAACTGATACTCCAAAGTAAGGGTACACTTTGTGTTTGTTCAGAGAAAGGAGCAGGTTTCAAAGCTGATTCTGATTCTGATTCTGATAAAGTACCATTACAACACCTGTGAACTACTTTGAAGCAAATATTTTATACTGCACATCTCATTTATAAAAGTGTTTATATGCTGAGGCACCATTACATAAAGTGGTGCTTGAAAGCCAGGATTATTTTACATGATCAGGTCAGTCAGTCAAGGCCCTGAGATTTGAAAACTTGTATCACTTAAATGTCACACCATATAGTAGGAAAAGCTCAGGAGAGAATCCTGATGTTTGACCACTGGGTGCAAATTCTCCACCTTCTCATCCCAAAATGAGTCACCTCCTTCCACAGAATGACATCAGCGATGTCTCCGCAGGGACAGTTGCCGTCGGGGTGTGTGCTTCTCTTTCTCTTTCTCTTTGGAGACCGGTTCATCTGCTGACCTCCTCCTCTCATCCAAGAGCCTCATCACCCGGCAAGCTGCTGCTTCACTGCTGCTGCGAGGTCGACACTGCTCTAACTTCCGAGCTGTCTTCTGCACCCACCATATGGAGACATCACTATCAGTAAGTGTCCAGTCCAGGGATCAGTAATTGTTATTGTGTGCCATGCTTCCAAAGAGATAGATTTTAGGTCTAAGCAGACTGTTTTCATACCACTTCACATCATGCATCTCCAGGAATGAGGTGCCTTCATGGACCAGAGATCTGATAAATGACATGCTGGGATTGGACTGAATAAGACTTCTTTGCAACGACAGGGCCAGGGTAGTGTAAACACTGTGCAGGGGAGACGTGCAGTGCAAAAGATGTCTTACCTCTTTGTGGAAACGGTGTGTACAGTGTACCTCTTGAGTTCCCCCTCCACTCTTACACATGTCCTCTTGACAGATCAGGCACAACTTGTTTTCATCACTCTGCAAAAGAACAAATGAACTTTAATGCTTGAAAGTTTTGTACTATTTTTGTTATATATTTACAATATTTTGTTAACTGTAAAAAAAAATCATTGTACAAAAAGGTAAATGTTTGAGCCCGATGACAAATAACAAATATGAAACAACTTTTATTTTGAAAGTTTTGTTACATATACATATTTATCCACATATTCCTCCCCAGAAATCCTCTAAAGAATCTGAATAGCTCTCAAACCTGTTCATGATCCCGTCAGCACATTATAATAAAATATCTTTTAATCCTCTCAGAGCTCTGTAATCATTAAAAGATTCATATTACCATATTGCTGAAAGACAAGGCACACCAAACCTGGTTGAACCTCCAGTTAGCTGGCTAATCCACAGCACTTTGGGCTAGTAAAGAAAACTGTCAAATCTGCTTAAATTTGAATTAAAATTATAGTAATGCTGCTCACCAGAGACGTGGTCTTTTGATCACGGAGGCATAGACTCCTCTCAATTGACTCTGTGAGCTCTGGGATGGTGGTAATGTGGCTCTCAGGGACGGCTGACTTCAGACGGTTGTTGTCTTCTGAGGAGGCATGATGAGCTCTCTGGTGGGGCCTGACCTCCGCCTTCTCCTCTCTTGTTTTAATGTGGCTGGGGGTTGCCGCCATGGTGGCAGTATGCAGCCTGTTCAGCTTCATGACATTTAACTGTGTCTGTGCATCACACAGAGAAGTGTCGTTACCTAATGTAAAAACTTGTTCACACTGATTTAAACCGCTTGTAATAGTTCACAGTTTCATATTCTAGCTGAAAATGAGAATATTAGACCCCAGACAGACAAACATGCTGAGCTTTGTGAGTGAATGGAGTTAATCGCTCAATCATTGATATCCTCTAATAACATGCTAGAAATGCACCCGCCTAAATATAGTTTATAGTTCTCAACAGCAATGTGATTACTATGCTTATTGGTCCATATATGGCAACGCTAGTATATTGAGGGTGTGGTCAAAATAAAAAGAATGTGTTTTGTTGCTGTAAGGTGAATACTTTGATTTTGATTTGGGCCACTCTTCCAGCAGCCACTGGTAAACTTAAAAAATGGTAAACACTGATACAAATCCTGAATACAGTGATGAATGGGTAATAAAAGTAAGCATTTCAGCTATTTAATAGTCTTGAAAGACAAATCAATACATAAGAATTCAAGATATCCCAGATTTTAACCTCTGGTTTGGGTCAAGCATTTCCCACACTATGAAAACATAGCATCTTTTAGATGAATCTTCTCTACAGTAACTTGGCTTCTTTTCCTAATTTGTAATGTATTTCGCATCTTCAAGTTAAAGCAGATTTATGTGAGAGATTTAAGTTTAGACCACTTGGCCACCAAATATACTATCAGTGTCTTAGATTCCATGAGGAAATACTGAACTATTTTTGACTTTTAACAGGGTCACATCTCAAGCTCAAATATCCCACAAAAACAGTGTATTTGAGATCATAAACAGCAGTGATGGAAGAAGTACTCGGGTCCTTTACTTAAGTAAAACTAGTAATACCACAACAAGTAAAACTCCTGCATTAAAAATGTGACTTACCGTAACTAAAAACACAAAAGTATTCACATCAAAACATACTAAAAGTAAAAGTACTCATTTTGTAGAATGGCACATTTTACATTAATGTGTGTCATATTATTGAATTATAATTACAGCTGCATTATTGTGTACATCACATTGAGAGTATGTAAATGTATATCTATGAATTAACTGGGACTCAAGTTTGATCCATTTGGCAGAAACAAGCACCAACTCTTACAACTCCAATTTTTTAAGTGACATCATTTAGGTTTGGCACACCTAGAGGTCAGGTCATATGGTGTTACGTCTCTTCCCAGTCAGCTAAACTTGAGGATTTTCTTTAGTTCACAAGGTGTAAAACTCAGGATCACCAAATGCACTGATGAAAGTGCAGCTCTAACCGTGTCAGAATATGGCATCAATCCTTGTTTTATACAGTAGCTAAAACAAAATTAATGAAAAGTATTATAACACTTCAGATTATTAGATTAATAAAACATATGCAAGGAAAGTCATTAGATGTTGCTGCACAGCCGTCAAGAGTCTTTATTATGCAGATGCTTTTGTCAGAAAAATTGTTGCTTGTCCCTTCACCAGTGTGTTTTAAATAACACAGGGTATGTGTTTTACATTTAGGTAGACATCCACCTTGCTAAATTGTCCTTGAACACCTATTGTTTGAGTCACAAATGTGCTGCCATTGGCCTCTGACCTCCCTATGACAGGAGGCACTGAATGAAGTAGTGCACTGTTTCACAGAGAATATGTCCTCTGTTTGGGTTGACCTGTGTTTCAGTTGGAGATAAATGTTGAGTAATATCTCCAGAACATACACAGACATTAATATAAGAACAGTACAAAGAGTAATGAGAGTAATGAAGATAGCTGAACCATTCTTGGTACTCATGGTAGTAAAGGCCTAAAAACCATTATAAAGCCTCATCCGGTTCTTTCAAACCAGGAACTCCGAGGGACGACTCAGACCACTTGAGTATATAAAAAATATAACCGTGCTGGTTTATTCAAAGAGTCACAGGCAAGAATTCACACTTCCAGTCCAGAGATCTTCCAACCCCCAGCCTGCCAAAAGCAGCCCGGAAGCAGAAAGACCCCGAACCACGCATTGCTATACAATATTAATCATTTCTGGGCTGTCGAACCGTGACGTCACCTGATATGCCAGCTTGGCAGCTGAGCAGAGCAGTAGACAAAACATGAAGAAAATAATGTGTGTGGCTGTTGTTTTCGTGGTGTGTATCTAAAACAATTTGACATAACATTACACATTAAGACAAATATTATGGTTACTTTTACCGTCAAAATAACATTTGTCCCTGACTTGAGCCCTTCTGCCTTAACCACCCTTGCATTTAACATCCTGAGGAGACATCCTGGCTACACTAAACATCTTCTAATACAACAGATCTCTATTCCATATCTATCTAACTAAGAAATTACCTAACAGTAGGCCTGCTGTGAGCACTATTCTGCCTTTTGTAGCTTTTATGTTACAGTACAGGAGTACAGGAAGTATACTGTCCAGTATGAATGAACACATGCTGTCAGGTTTGCCCGGCTGCACCTACTTTCTCACTCCCCTCACTCCCTTACCCTGATTACGTTATCCCTTACACCTGCTCCTTACCCCCAGATTACCACCAGCTGCACCTGATTAGTTTCTCCCTATTTAGCCCCTGCACTTCGTTCACTCCCTGCCAGTTCTTTCTAGCATTTCTCAGGCACGTTTGTTCCCTGTTGTTCCTTCTGATCTGTGTTAGTTATTTTGTCTCCTTCTCTCCAGCTGCTTTTTATTCATTCCCTCCTCGCCTCAGTCGCTCCTTCGGACCACGG